ATTGGCACCGGCGTTGCTGCTTCCCCACCCCGGGCTGCACCCGTGGTTGCAAGGACCATGGCTTGGTCCTGATCCAGTCCCTGAACACCCCAGCTTGGTCCTTGGCTTGGTCTTGATCTGGTCCCCGATCACCCTGGCTGAATCCGTGCGTTGGTCCTGATCCAGTCCCTGAGTACCCCAGCTTGGTCCCCAGCTTTGTCCTGATCTGGTCCCTGGTCACCCTGGCTTCATCCCTGGCTTGGTCCTGATCCAGTCCCTGAGCACCCTGGCTTGGGCCCCAGCTGGTCCCCAAGCACCCCAGCTTGGTCCCTGGCTTGAGCCTGATCTGGTCCCAGATCACCCTGGCTTAATCCCTGGCTTGGTCCTGATCCAGTTCCTGAGCATCCTGGCTTGGGCCCCAGCTGGTCCCCAAGTACCCCAGCTTGGACCCTGGCTTGGTCTTGATCTGGTTCCCAAGCACCCTGGCTTAATCCCTGCCTTGGTCCTGATCCAGTCCCTGAGCACCCTGGCTTTGTCCTCATCTGGTCCCCAAGAACCCCAGCTTGGTCCCCAGATTGGTCTTGATCTGGTTCCCAATCTCCCTGGCTTCATCCCTGGCTTGGTCCTGATCTGCTCCCCGATCACCTCGGCTCGGTCCCCAGCTGGTCCCCAAGCCCCCCAGCTTGGTCCCTGGCTTGATCCTGATCTGGTCCCAGATCACCCTGGTTTAATCACTGGCTTGGTCCTGATCTGCTCCCCGATCACCTCGGCTCGGTCCCCAGCACCAAAGGCATCCAGGACCAACGTGTCTTCTCGTCTCTGCTGTGGACACGGGGCAAGACAGCAGCATTGGGCCCGGGATGCTGCCGGACGGGGGACGAATGGTTGTGGCCGTGGGTGTCCCATCCCTCCCTGCCTCCGTCCCCAGCGCCGGCCGGGGAGCAGAGGGCGAAGTCTCCAGCCCGCAGAGCTTCCAGGCGCCGCATCAATAATCGATGCCCTTTCGGAGGGGTGTTAATAAAGGCCTCATGCATCACGCATGGCCAGCGGCGCGGGGGAAAGCAGGGCTGTTTGCTGCCCGGCGAGCGCTGACGTCCCGCGGAGGGGTGCCCAAAAGACCCCTCTTCCCAAAGCAAACCTGGGTGCCGAGGTCCTTAATGACGATATCTGAGGTGTCCCCCCCAGAAAAAGGTTTTTTTTTCCAGTGCCTGGGGCCATCTGCATCCCCCGGCGTGGTCCTCACTCAGAATCAGGCTCTCACACACGGGGGGTGGTTCAGCCCCCAGTGCCTGGGGCTGGCGGGAGCCCACCCAAGGGCCATGAGCACCCTTGGGTGCCGTCAGAGGTGTGAGCTCCTGGGGACAGGTCTGAGGGGACGTTTCGGATTTCCCCCTCAACCAGGTTTCCCTCTGGCCCCTGGCCCCATCCCACCCCTGCCAGCAGCCCTCAGGGAGCCCACGTCGCCTGCCCGGCTTCCCACCCCACCTCCACGGGGTCCTCCTGCCCCATGCTCGCTGGATTTTACTGGGATCGTGGGGTGCCGGGGGGCTTAGCCCCGGGATGCTCCAGCCCACGTGGCGGCATGGGGCTGGGGGACATGCGGGGCCTGGGGATGGAGACCTCCCTCCCCCGGAACGCAGTCGCGGGGCAGATCCCCCCTCTGCGGGGCTGCTGGAGGGGGGGAACCCT